TTTTTTTTTTCAGTGTGCATTTGCTAGAAATTTGTGAAGTTTTGGGTGCTGTTATTATTATTATTGTCTTTAAATTGTTTCTACTTTATTTTGCATCATTTGTAAGAATTGGATGGCATATAAATTACTCAAGTAAATAAGTAAATAAATACAATAAGTTCATTCATATTATTAGGAGTGCAAAAATGTTCAATAAAATGCAAGTTAGGACTGGATCTTATCATTTTAGGGCATATGCTTTCTTTCCAAATATTAAGAAACCTTAAAAAATATCAGCCTTATTATCATGCTTCCAAATATCTACATGCATGTTCAGAGAGAAGCCTTGCTGGCTATGCTGTGGCTTTTGAAATATTTTCTGGCATTGCAGATGGAGACATTGCCCACAATGGCAATGTTCAGGTCTTCTGTTGTGTACCAGACAGTGTGACTGATCCATTTAGGCTTACCAAATTCCACCTTTTTAGATTAGCCTTTTCCAGCCACGGACTTTTGATTTTCAATTATTTTTGAATTATTCTGGATGCCTATTCTCCTTATTGGCTGATTTGAACAAAGTTTTGGAATTCAGATGAAAATTAATACAATACACTTTTATGTACCATTTGAAATCCTTATTTGAAATTTCAGAAGCAATCAGGAAAAGATGGAAACATGTCATTTCTTGTTCTTCCCTTTTCCTGTTCTTTAGTTGTCCGAGCACTTGGTACATAGGGCCAACAGAAGAAATGTAAATATAAAAGACTGTTTAGTATCAGAGATTTTATTATGTGTTTTCAAAACTGTTTGCAATAGAATTTTTCATAGAATTGGACCTGATTTTTTTGTAATGTAAGTTGAAGGGCTTTTTAATCATAGCATATTTCATCATTAGGTTAAATAAAACATGTGAAGAATGATGCATAGGGACTTGTCTGTTCAAGACACACAAAGGTATATCCCATATGAGAAGATTTGGAATCTGAACTCAATGAATCAGCTTGGAGCTCTTAATACAACAAAATTTCCTCCAATCCTTTGGGAAATCATCAGGAATTTATGAAAAAGGCATTTCATAGATGGTTCAGGAAGTCCTTGACTTAACAACACTTCATTTAGTCATCGTTCAAAGTTACAATGACACTTAAAAAACCAATGAGGAAGCCTGATTCACTTAAGAACCGTATTACTAACTTATCAACTTTGGTGATTCATTTCACAACTGTACCAAGTAGGGTCATAAAATGGAGCAAAACTCACTTAAACAAATGGCTCACTTAACAACAGAAATTTTAGGCTCAATTGTTGTTGTAAATTGAGGAATATCTGTACTTCTAAAATTACTATAGCAATCAACAATACTTCCGAGATTGTGCTGAAGGAGCTGAAGTCAGATCCCTACATATTAACATCCCTAGTAGCAATGCTCATTACTTATTTATTTGGGCAAAGAAATTTAGAAAATTACTTCACAACTGTTGGCAGTCAATACTACTTTCCGTGTATTGCTTGTGTGGTATGCAGCAAAATGAATTAATTCATTTTTCTCTGTTGGTGCAAGAAAAAACTTGGCAAATCTTTGGGAAACTAAAATATATATTTTTAATTAGTTTAATGATATGATACATTTTAATTTTTCCTTTATTTTAATCACATTGTTTTTATTCATACATTTTGTCATTTCTGTTTTATCTTGCTATAAGTCATCCTCTGTGGAGAAATAAAGGGAATGTAAATAAGATTGTATCTATTTAAAGAGAGAGGGGGCATTAGAACAGTGCCTTAGAATCCCATCTGGGGTTATTTTTTATGAAAAAAATGGGAACCAATGTATGTAATTTAAGGATCTAAATAAGCACTATTGAAAAATTAGCATAGAAACAAAGAATGTTAAAGAAATATTCATCTAATTATTGATTTAGATTTGCTTTATGTTTTTCAATTATATAAACAAAATGTTTCCTAATCATCTTTTTTGTACAATAAGTTCAATATTTAATATTGATTTTTTGGAGGGGGGAAATTACATTTTTCTTTAAAATTGTAATTAATTTATTTAAACACACTTACTATATCTGGTTATCCATCTACCAAATGGAAGCCTTGAGATGTAAGTGAGGTATATATATCAATATATGCATAAACACATGTGTTGGTATCAGCATTATCAAAAGGGTGGGGTTCCCCTTCTCTTATTATTTTTAATCAATATTTCTTATTGATGTTTGTCTCTTATTTTGAAAAAAAGATAAACAAAAAATAGAGTATGATTTGGGACTCATGATTAATCTTTCAGTCAGACCTTCTACAGATCTTTCATGAGAGAAAATTTATCAAGGAAATGATTTTTAAAACACAAGGATGTTTGCCCAAGAAGTTGCTAAAACTATAAAGTATATACTGCAGAGTGTACCTTTATGATTGATTTCCATTTAAGTCAGACTGACTGCAGTGTGGTCATTTTTCTAACCCATCACTGTTCTTCCTGCAGCAGTTTGCTATCTGCAGGGTGTCTGAATTATAGCAGTCCATGTCTCTGTTACCTTTTACACAAATTACTTACACTGGTTTCTTTTTCCATGCAAATTTATCAGTTTTACAGCCCCTTGTCTCCATGTCAGGAAACTCTAGCAGGCAGCACAAATTGATAAAATGAGTTAATTTTATAATGTTCCTTTTTTCTTAACTTCATTTGCCAATTTTACAGGAAACATAGTGTAGTTAAGATGATAAATAAGTTTCTTTTCCAAGTTAATTCCTTTTAAAGATCACAACAGACTAATTCCCATTTTAATAACATTCTTTTTTTTTCCTTCTGTGCTCTTATATGTATCAGAGCACATGAATTCAACAGTATCAAGGGAACAATATAAGAATTGTATTCTTAATGCAACCTGTTTTTGTATGCTATAACCAGAACCTATCTACAACTTCATGTATTATAATTTAGAGCATGAACCATCCTTTGAATGTTCAATTTCATTCCATGGCATGGGTGGAAAAGGCCTCAGATCATGATAACCTGCTTTGTAGCCAAGGAGCACAATGATAAAAATATTTATCTCATAACAAGTAGACTCAGGGGAGGGATTCTACCGGTTCAGAACAGTTCGAGTGAACCGGTACTTCCAGTGATCATTTGGCCCCGCCCACCTGCCCCTGCCCTTTTCCTGTGCTTTATTTCCTTGTTTTTGAGCACAGCTGATTTGCGGGGCAGAGTGGTTTGCCATTCATCAGCTGTTTTACTCACCAGGGCTATAGCAGAAGGTAAGTATTATAGCTAAAAATTGTCTTTTCTAAATGCTGGGTGTGCACGCAAAGTGTGCACTCACTGAACTGGTTGTTAATACCGGTTGAATCGCACCACTGAGTAGACTGTGTTTTGTGGTAATAAATATTGCTTGGACCCCCCCAAAAAGGTGATGGGGTTGACAGGACACAGGCAAATCTGCAGATGGTCATCCTTGCAGTGAAGAACATCGGTCAGAGTAGATGACACTGAATCAGAAGACCTGTGTTTACCTCTGAGTTAGCTGTTGAGAAACCCTTTGAGGTTCAAGGAAACAGTATGGCATTACATTAAAATGGGTGTGCTGTAGGAAATCGTTAAAAGAGTTTTGTATTATCTGATTGTGATGTATATATCTAAGTTTGGATTTTTGTGCAGTTACTCTTTAGCACTCAGTGTACCTAAGTAAAATCTTATTTTCTATAAGTTCTCAAGAGAGTTTGAGCCTGTGACACTGCTGAAGCTATGCAAGTTTCATTTCTCATTTTCTTCCACCAGAATGAGAAGGGATTTTAATGCATATTATCTCTGCATTTCAGCTGGAAAAGCCATTCTTGCAGAAGCTCATCTTAATATAGTAGCTACTGTTATCTAGTTCTCATCAATTGGCTTTATTAAATAATTTTCTTATTTGTCAAATGTTAAGCTATGAATTATACTTTGTATGGTTAGGTTCATAGTGCATCATTTTTCAGGTGCTACATATCCAGGAGCAGATCTGGAGCAAACTCCATAGTCAGTGTTGATGCTTGCGGTTGTTTTTGCAATAGAACAGACAGCTTTGCTTTTCCTACATTAGGATTCATGAGAGTGATATGAATGTATAAATGGAATATTTCATTTATTTTAATGGTCTTTGTTTAATAAAATTTCAATATGCATAATAACTCTTCATTATTAAAAAAAAATAAGTTTCCTTATAAGAAGCAAGAGCAGGCTTTAGATACTTATCAAAAACTGTTAACTGCATAAGTATCAGACAGTGTAATGCTTAACTGGAAAGAGCTTCACTGACATCATATGTGAAAATGAAATCCATATTATTGACAGAAATAGATTCATGGTTTCTTTTACTCTGCAGAGAAAAAAGTTGGGTCATATTTTTGTTAATATATAAATAAACCACTTTATTGCATGCATGTGATGATCAGAAGAAACTACAGCAAGTTACAAGCATAACAATTTTACAGAACAAGTAGTAGTGAGAATTGGTTGACAACTTTTGTGAATTTACCCAATGTATCAATCATGAGGAAACTTTTTCAGAAGTAGTACTCATATAGTATTAACAGAGGGAGTATTCAAATATATTAGTAAAAGTTAGACTTCCCTTTTAGAAAAAAATATGAGGGGGTCCTTGGTGCTCTCTGAGTTTGTTTGTTTTCTTGCAGACATTTTGTTACCCTAACTAGGCAACATCATCAAAGTTAGCACTTGACTAGCCCTGATGATGTTACCTAGTTAGAGTAATGAAACGTCTGCAAGAAAACAAACAAGCTCAGAGAGCACCAAGGACCCCCTCATTTCAATGATACTTGTACCTGAGCTACAAATATTCTCCTTTATTAAAAAATATTTTCAAAGAATAGATTAAATGAAAAATGCCTTAATGCTATAGTGCTAGCTATCTGATATCTTTCAATTTGTACACTGGGTCAAGTCATCAAAGTGAAGGAGACCATTTTTACATGTCTTACTGATTTCTCTCCCCCCCCCCCCCCTTTATTCCCAGCACCAATAGCTGCAGGAACAGGCCCTAACTTCTCACTCTCCGATTTGGAAAGTTCCTCGTATTACAGTATGAGCCCAGGAGCAATGAGGAGATCTTTACCAAGCACCTCTTCTACCAGGTAATTTCTGTATAGTATGTTTGTTGAATTAAAAGGTTGTGACATGATAAGTATTTGGGGCAATCAAATATGGATAGAAATTGAAAGCTAACCACAGATGTATAGAGTCCTATGGCAAAAGAAATCCCAGCAATGGAAATGACTATTTCTACAGGGTTCAAAGTTTATGTTGGCATAACAAAATTACTGAAGTAATAGAGAAAGTTGCTTTACACAAAAAAATAAAGACATGAAAAGCCTCCATGCCATTAGATTTCAAGCAGGAATTGCTGTTTGCGTATCTAATCCATGAATGTTGCACTTGGGGACAATTGTTTCAAGTGGCAAGTTATGTACACTCATCTTTAGAAAAATAATAACAGTAGCCATTCCTCTGAAACTCAACAACTGTGGCAGTTATTTTTAACCAGCGATCTGTGTAATAGCATCTTATGATATGTCATTCTTTTTGCCTATTGTAAACAGACCAGCATACCTCACAAAAGTGAAAATAGGAGGAGAATGCTATATATACTGCCTTGGACTCCTGGATAAAGGGCGGAGTATTAACCTAACAAATGAATAAGAGTATTTTTATTTGATCTTTCGAGAGTTACCTCATAATATAGGTATTCCTTAATTTATAACAATTCATTTAGGAATTGTTTGAAGTTAAAACAGCACTGAAAAAAGTAACTTATAACTGGTCCTCGCATTATAACCGTTGCAACATCCACATGCTCCCATGATTAAAATTTAGGTGCTTGGCAACCCCCCCCAAAAAAATAATGACTTTTTTGGGGGGGTTGCCAAGCACCTAAATTAATGGGGAAAAAATTAATGACTTTTTTTTTCTCATGAGGAGTTGACTGTATGGTGAAACTTAATTTTAAAAATTGGGGGGGGAAATGGTAATATGGAAAAATTAAACGGAAGCAGAGTTATTGACTTTGGACCAAATGATAGATGATTATGAATTTTCAACATACTCTGTGCTTAGAGATTAATATCATCTACCATATGTAACCTAATAGCAATAATTACAGTAACAACATTTGTTAACAACATTGTTTGAGCCAGCAGTGTTTTCAGTTTTTGAGACATCTGAAATATTAGAACAACTTGTAAAATCCTTTAAAAATATAGACTACCAAATTAAGATATAAGAGAAGACCATGGTTTTTTCTCTTTTCTATATTAATTTTCATAATTGAGAAGATTAAGTGCCCCTCCATTGTGCCCTAATTCAGTAAACTGCAAGTTCACGAAGAAGAAATCAAACAATTGCTAGAGATTAGGGGAAATAGAGAAGTAACATCTTCATTTCTTATATGTTATGTTAAACAGTAATAAAAGAGAGGAAAAAACACCTTGGAAAGGGAATGCTCATGGTCAGAACTTTGCAAGATCATTTATATAGCAAGAAACCAGGATTTCTAGTCATAATTTTGTCCCATATATGTAAAATAGATTTAAATTGCTAGGACTATGATATTGTAAAGAGATGCTACAGTAGAATAGAAAAGCTTGCAGAATATTGCAAGAATAGTAAACATCTAGATCAGGGGTGTTAAATTCACGGCCTGGCCACGCCCATGCCTGATTTAATGAAGGGGGAAAAATCATGATACGTCACGTGACAACTCCATGATGACGCGAGTTTGACACCACTGCTCTTGATTAAAAAGTTGCTGTTATTGTAAGAGCATTTGCTGAGCAAAATCATGTAAATTTGAACAACTGTTGTTTAAAAATCAGCTCAAAAATAAAATGTTAAGACAATAAATAATAAACCTACCATCTTAACTCCTTTTGCTATAATTGATTGCTTCATAACTAACATAGAGTTCCTTTATGTATGTATTCAGCAAAAGAAGAAACTCTCTTTTCAAAATGAAAAGTTGTCCTACATATATTATTTATAGAATTTTAAATATAGTTAATCTCACAATACAGGTAGTCCTCAACTTACAACAGTTCATTTAGTGAGAGTTCAAAGTTACATCATCACTGAAAAAAGTGACTTATGACCATTTTTCACACTTACTACCATTGCAGCATTCCCATGGTCACATGATCAAAATTCAGACAGTGGGCAACTAATTCATATTTATGATGGTGGCAGTGTCCTAGGATCCTGTAATCATCTTTTGAGACACTCTGAAAAGCAAAATCAATTGGGAAGCCAGATTCACTTAACAACCATGTTTCTAACTTAACAACTGCAGTGGTTCATCTAACAACTGGGGCAAAAAAGTTTGTAAAATGGGGCAAAACTCACTTAAATGACTCACTAAGCAACATAAACTTTGGGCTCAATTGTGGTCATAAGTCAAGGACTACCTGTATACATCACCTCTGGCTATTAGTTTGTGATAACTGACTTATATTCATACTCTTTACCCCCAACCAAAGGGAGCAGAACTTAATATGTATCAGTAATCAGTACAACCATTTTCAGAGTTTCACTTTTTTATGAGAGTCCCAAGTACTGTGTATATAATTCTCATTAATTAGACCTAGTCTCAGACTGTTTGCTTCCTCTCCAAGATTGTTAAAATAGACATGTTATCAATGATACTTAAAAGTAAAGCACAGCTGTCATTCTTATCTGCTTCTACAAGTACCTGATACAGATAAGAAGCTAAGTAAAATAGCATCAGTAATGAATAGCTTACACTGTATGTTTGCTCTTTGCTGTTTCCTCACATTGCTTTTGTAAGGTAAAAAAAGTCTTAAATTATTCACTTCTAAATGTATTTACTTGGAAGTATATTTATATTGATTCCAGTAAATTTACTTCAAAGTACATTTTAGGATTGTTGCCTAGCAAAATAATTGAGGCAATGATAATATGGTAAGAAAAATACGTTGTTGACAATTGCATTTCCTCATAAACTTAGGGATCAGAGGTTTTTTTTTTAGCATTTCTTAGCTATGACAGGACTCTTGTTACAATTATTTTAAAAATAAATGACTAACAATTCATTAAATCAAATGAATTATAAGAACAGCTGAGGTCATAAACCATATATGCCCATTTATATTTACCATATTTGTGTAGTACACCCAGGGGTGGGGTTCAATTTTTTTAACAACCAGTTCTGTGGGCGTGGCTTAGTTGCTGGGCATGGCTTGCTGGTCATATGACTGGGTGGGTGTGGCCAACTCGACATCACTCACATCAAGGGGTGTTTCTCCTTGCCTGGCCTGTCATGACAATGGGGATGCTACAATGGTCGTAAGTGTGAAAAATGGTCATAAGTCACTTTTTTCAGTGCCATTGTAACTTTGAATGGTCACCAGTTTTAGACCAAAACTCAAAAAGGGTATGTAAACTCACATTTGAATGTCAATCTTTTTAGCTAACCAAGAAGCCTTGCTGAATGTCACTCATCTTGGTTCCTTGTCATTAAAAGCTTCTTTCTGGCAGTTCTGCTCATTATTCAATTATTTCTTCAAAGTGTTAACTTTCCTCCCAACAGCAGTATAAAAATCTTAAAACAACCCTTCCCCTTTAAGAAAGTACCAGCGAAGGAAAAAAACCTCCTTCGGAGACAGTAAGTCTAGGCATACTGCCAAAAATGTAAGAAGGGTAGAAAAAAACAAAAGGAGATTTCTTCCAACAATTGGTTCTCCGAACTGCTTAGAAAGTTAACAACTGGTTCTAGAGAATAGGTGAGAACCTGTAGAATCCCACCCCTGAGTACACTTTCACTTTGTATAAAAGTGAAAGACTTATGAAACAGGGAATACACTGAAGAAGAAGGCATAGTTGTTCCTCTCCTTAAGGATTAGAAAGAAAAGAATCACCTCAATTTTTTTAAAAAAATTGTTTTAAACAATTTTTTTAAGAACTATGAATTATCTCAGCAAAGTCTTAGGGGCAATGGGACAATGGCAGTGGATTATTACTTTTAATAGAGGATTTATGAAAAAAAAATTGTCTCTGGATTCACATAGTAGCCAAAATTTTTGGATCAGAAGGGTCTGCTTTATTTTTTACATAGAAATATGCAATAGGTTCATAAAGCTAAAGATTTTCTGACCTTGTCATGGAAAATACATCCAGTAAGTTCTAACTCTAGTTCTGAAACCCAAGGATTCCTAGCTCTCCAATTCCTCACATTATTTTGTCGGAATTCAAGTCAGCTGCTATGATGGTTATATTATGCTATAGCATTGTTACGGGAAGAGGGGAATGTAAATGACAAAAAGGGAATAATCATCTTTTTGTCCTTCTTCTCTGAACTGTACATGTTTTTGGCTACAAGGCCTAAAATTGAGATTTGTACTATAAAGAAACTGAGATTTTCTTTCATTGGCTTAACAGTAATTTTGCTTCATTTCTAGGTCCTAATTGATTTGGTCTCTCAATATTTTGTCCTTTTCCTAAAATATTTACTTTGCTTATCTAGGTACAATTATTCACATAATTATATTCATTCATTTGTAAAGAACATGTCTACATTAAAATAAATAGAAAATGTCATATGTAAACTATGCAGACAGCATGCAGAGCATACCATTTTTTGTAGCTTATACTTCACGTACAATACAAAGATAAAATTATCTACAAGTACAAGGAAATTCCCAAATCTATAAAAATAACAAATACAGTGAATCCTTGACTCAACTATTTAATGCAGAAGAAGTATCTCTGAGGCTCATATGTTCATCCAGTGGTAAATAGGATGTTACATGCGTACATGGGACATTACAAGTGTCAAAGACAATGTGTGAAATGATGATTGGATTTATTCCACTGCATCTGAAGTCTGCCACTGAGGTCCAGTGTAAGCATTTGAGTGTTAATGTAAGCAAAAATATTGTAAAGAAGCAAAAAAGCAAGATGAGGATAAGCCAGTGCTCAAGGATCATGAATGGAAAAAAACTGAGAATGTGATTATCTGCTTAGCAATCAAAATTTTGGTCCCAATTGTGGCTGTATGATGAACACTACCTGTCAGAGGGGGTAATCAGCAGGTTCTGACCAGTTCTGGAGAGCTGGTAGTGGAAATTTTGAGTAGTTAGGGGAACCAGCCAATACCACCTCTGACTGGAGATTTTACAGTATCCTTCTCCTGCCACACCCTCCAAGCCATGCCCACAGAACCGGTAGTAAAAAAATTTGAATCCCACCACTGCTACCTGTACAGTATAAACAAATATGGCCAGGAGCAATATCTCCCAAGTCTTAATATTGTTGCTGTTGTCATGCCAGAACTGTACATGGTACTATACCATATAGCTGTAAATTGTTAATTTGCTTCAAGGAATATATAACACAAAGGAATCTATTAAAAAACAAATCTATCTTATCCTGCACCTCTGAATTCTTCTTTAAAAAACAGAGGGGCATATAAATGCAGCCTGCTGTTTGGAATGATCCAACCAATATCTAAGGATAGCTTCTTAAGAAGTATGAAAATAAGCCACACAGCAAGCTTTAAGACAATTTTGTTTATTATCTGGAAACGCAATAAAATGGGTTTCAGAAAATTCCCCTGATGGGCTCTGGTGAATTTGCAATTGGGTGAACTTATGGAGACTTTCCACAGAAGAATTGCTCCTGAACCAATTACTATTTCTCCTCACATAGAGAAATACTAGGCACATGGATTGCTACATACATACATACATACATACATACATACATACATAGCGTAAAGTTCTTTGTTCTTCTCTCATATATTTTGTGAATGAATGGCCCCTACATAGTAGTGTGTCTAACTCAGTCTTAAAATGTACAAGATGTGTATCTAAATCTCCAACATCCATTACAGAGGTAACTGAAATTCATATTATGCCTTAAGGAACATTCACAAACATAGACCTCTTATATGAAATCACATCCTTTTATTTATTGTTCCCTTTCTCTTTTCAAAAATTGGTTTCTGTTTGCCCAAACTGAAAGGGAAATGCAAGTCCATCTGTGTGTTTTTTTTTCCAGAGAAACTGCCTGTCTATAACCATCATTCTTCAATTTTCTCCAAGAAAATGCTCAAGGAAAGCAAAATCGTATGTCCCATTGTAGGGCATGATGGCAAGGTGGCAAAAAGATCCAGAAGGTTAACAGGGAAAAAGAAGGTGCAATATTCACATCATATTTTATTTATTTCCCTTCAGGTTGTGCATTAATGCATATATGCTTTGATTCTAGTTCCACAAAGCGTCTCAAATCTGTAGAGGATGAAATGGACAGTCCTGGTGAAGAGCCATTCTATACCAGCCAAGGGCGGTCTCCAGGCAGTGGGAGTCAATCAAGTGGATGGCATGAAGTGGAGCCAGGTAAATAAAGTCACCCAGGTGGCTTTGGAGGAGGGGGGGAGTTTTTAGCATTCCTGAACTCCATTTACTGATTCTGATAAGAACTAGTATTAACGTGTGAATTGGTATTTTTGAAAGGCTAGGGGAGTTGAATAAATCTGCAGCTGTAAATCCTTTGTTAATATCCATTTTGTTCTTTAGGCAAGCATTTGTAGTGTTGAATAATGGTTTCCATGGTTGTCAAGGTTTTCTTATCCCCAAATATTACTCTCAATTAGATTGGCTTGTCCTCAGAAGGAGTGTACACTGCAACTATATTTTATTGTCAAATGACGGATGCTTGATTCTTCTTAAAAAAAGGAAAGAAACACAAAACCTTTCAAATTGTTCACTTAAATTGATTTTATTCTGCCATAGCATTGTCGGAAAAGAGGTGCCTTTGTTAATTTGAAAGTTTGTATTCTGGCTTTATTAGGTAATTTTCAAGTCCCTTTTTATTTAATATTTGTATAAGTCGCTACATATTTATTTATTTAAAAGATATCACCACACCTCAACCAACTCTGGGCAGCTTATGACAACCATAAAACCAATAAATATAACAGCAATTTAAAACAATAAAAATAAAATAAACAAAACACTCTTTTTGTCACCATTGGGATGTCCCACAGAAGGTTCAGGCATCCTCCTTCCATGCCTTCTAACTGTACAATCCCAGCCGATAAGTAAAAAAAAACTAGGTCTCAACAGCCTTCCAAAAGGCTACAAAAGTGGGAATTGTCAAATTGCCAGCAGGAGAGGGTTTCATAAAGTAGCAACAGAAAAGGCATACTTCCATGGTCCTGCTAGACGGCAAGATTTCAAAGAGAGGGCATGGCGCATGGCCACCTTATTTAGTAAGACTGGCTGGTATTCTTAGCAAAAGAGGGTACTGTAAATAACTAGGTTCCAGGCCACATAGGGCTTTAAAAGATGACCATCACTTTGAATTGCACCCAGAAAAAAACTGGAAGCCATGCGGTCAATAAACAATACACACACACACACACACACACACACACACACACACATACAGATATGCAACTTATTTTATGTGTAGTTCCTTGAAAAGTAGTGCTAATGATTTCTAGTATACTCCCAGGCTATTTTTGGTTCCTTGGAATTCAGCTCATCGTCTATACTTTCAGTATAGGGAATCATTGAGGAAAGATTTTAATGTCATCAGGAAGGATTCTAATGTCATAAGATCTGATTTAATGTTATCTAACCACTAATCCTATAAAGCCTAGGCTCCCTCTTGACATTCGGTTGAGGGAGAACAAGATACATTTAATTTAGATAAAACAATTTTTTTAATTGGCCTTATTTTTCTTTGAGTTAATTGCTTCCAAGAGAAACTATGTTAGTTTCTTTTCTTTATATGGGCTGGCTTCATAAACTGTATGACTGGAAAGCATGAGAGACAAGAGACATATCTGGAAGTGGCCAATATTTTTGATGGTCAGTATCTCAGATGATTAAATTATATCTCCTTCTACAATACTGGCTTTAAGCTGGCTTTGTGAAGTTTTCTACAACCCAGCCTTTCCATATCAGTATAAGTGGCTCATGTGTCTTCTAATTGCATGTCTTTCTGATGTGTTTTTTGGTTTCTATATCTTTGATTATATTCTTTGGTCTCGCCAAAATATCGTTAAGGTATTTTGAAATAATTTAATAAGTAAGTAATAATGTTCAGCTGCTAAAGGATATTTTAGAATCACTGCTTGATATAATAGAACTTTTTTGGAAAAATAGGACCTTTGATTTTTGTATGAAAATTTTGTTCCTTGTGTGCTGCCTGTTTTATTGCATGCATTAGTGAAAATCAGATACTGATTCTGAATTTCTATTTATGATTTAACCAAGAAGTGGTAAATGAGTGCAACTGGATCATATTATTTGATCATCATAAATCTATTCCAATTGTGATATTCCAAAATCAGGAGAAATAGATAAGTTAGAATTTCCTCTGTGTTAACTAACAGAAAAAAGTAAAAGGGTTAGAAGCAAATAGGTAGATCTTGCTTAGTGACTTTTCATTTAGCAACCATTTGAAGTTATGATGGCATTGAACAAAAGATAGTTATGGGCCAGTCCTCAAGCTTACAGTCATTGTAGAGAAGCAGTGAGATCCACTCCTAATGACTGCAGTTGGGATTGCCAGAAAACTGCCATTGCTAAGCAGCACGTGATGCTAATGATGACTTTATTTGGTGATGGAAATTCCGCAATTAGGATCATTAAGTGAGGACTGTAGTTCACTTTAAGGATGGGTGCTGATAAATTTCTGGAGGGCCTGGTAAAAATGAGAAAAGTGATGTCCTTAATATGTATCATGTGCTGCAAAATGAAAAGGAAAAACTCTGTGAAATTATTAGACCTCAGAAAACAAAATGAAGAGGCATGCATTTAGAGGAAACGGAGTAAAAAATGGAGGAACAAAATGTTTAGAGGAATAAACAGGAAGAATTGTAGGAAAGAATTAAAATCCTGAATCATTGTTTTGAGATTATGTTCACCAGAGTAATTTGCAATTTTCATTCCATTCTCATCTTGGATAAAAAAAAAAAAAATCAGATATTTACACTTTTTATTTTCTGTTTTTTTTCTTTGCTAGTTGTTTTAATATAGTGGTGCTGATATCAGATAAGTTGTATTTAAAAAACAAAACAAAACCAGAACATCGTATTTTCATTCATCTCTGGGCAGAGTATGCTTTCCACCTAGTGGGGAAATGAATTTCGATATTTTTCTCCCAGTTAAAAAATGGGAGAATGACTGTTTTAAGCCTTTTATCTTAATAACCCTTGGTTATCTGTACTGTATGACTGGTTGCACATCATAATGTAGCATTTCATATATATAAATGGTGTGAGAACTGTGGGTTTAAATTAATGCTTTATTGTTGCAAGTGTTAGAATAAACTTTGGAAAGATCAGACAGAATATGGACAAGTTCAAGGGTATCCACACAAGATATATCTTGGGAGTGTTGTTCCTTTTTTTAGTTCCAAGGCAGACAATATATTAAACACTGAAACTCTGTTGTTGCTCTAAGTTAATTCAGTCTCATAATACACTGTGTAATTGCAAGATTCTTGCACTGAGCAGGGGCTAGGACTAGATGAACTAACTCCACTCCTTTCTGACTTTCAAATTCTGTGTTTCTGTGATTTGTGGCTCAGTCAAGCAAAACAGCACATTAAATCTTTGCTCCTAATATTGTACTCATGGAGACTCACATCCATTTACCTGCACTCCAGTGTGCTTGGGGAGTTCTCAGGCCTGGAATGGCTGGAGTCTGCCAGAAAAGATGAATTTCCTTTCACACAGGAAGACTCTGCAAAGTAAAACAAAGCAGACACGAAGTAAATTATTTCTGCTTTTCAAATATCTCATGTGGTATCCGCTTTACTGTTAACTTTATCTCAGCACTTTCATCACGTAAATTTTTGCCAACAGAGAAGGAAGGCAAGAGGAGATAATGAAGATGCTTGGTTAGAAAATCATGCAGCTTCAGGCTTGGATTTGCGCTGTACTACAATTCTATAGATGACTTCATTTTAAAAATTAGTAAAATAAGTTACATATCTGTGAATGTACCTAAAAAGCTCTTGGCTTCAAAATTCATTTTATTTTGATTTGCCACAATCAAATGCACTCTGTGAATCTGAATAATATAAAAAGTTGACTTTTAACTTTTTTTCTCTCTATTTTCCCCCAAAATTGCATTCTTTAACCCACTTAAAGATGCTGTGCCCATCTTTATCAATGTGTCCATTTTTAAAATTGACAGTTGTCCGGCCTATCATTCAAATTTTATGAGCATGAACATTATAAGCAGATATTTAATTTTAAAATGAACAGTGCCCTCCCTCTCTTTTTAAGTAATGTTACTATTTTGTCTGTGCCCAAAATAGTTTAGGCACTGAACTACAATATTTATAAAAATATAACTATTGCCCCTCAAATACAAGTTTAATTATTTGAAGATCCAATGTAGTTGGCTTGTGTGACTGCATATTTTTCAGGCATTTTTGGAATTGGAAGTTATAAGTAGACTGCCAATGCTGAACCATGAATGGTAACATAAGGCAATAAAGCAGTAGCACAGTGGTTAGAATGCAGTACTGCAGGGTATTTCTGCTGACTGCCGGCTGCTTGCAATTTGCCAGTTCGAATCTCACCAGGCTTAAGGTTGACTCAGCCTTCCATCCTTCCAAGGTCAGTAAAATGAGGATGCAGATTGTTGGGGCAATAGGCTGACTTTGTAAACCTTCTAGAGAGGGCTGGAAAGCACTGTGAAGCAGTATATAAGTCTAAGTACAATTGCTATTGCTATTACTATACTATTGTCTGGCATTAAAATGCAAGTTCAAAAGCCAGAGTTCATTGTAACATGTTGTAGAGCATAATTTAAACTTTTTTTTCTCATTTGTAAGAAATGCCCTGATAGGTTAAAGCTTTGGTCTTGTACATCAGAAGAGTGTAAGAGACTACCTTGTGAATTTTGAATAAATCCTAGGAGGAGATTCCTAAGTCTGTTGAAACAAAGTTCTGAAATAACTTTTGTGCTAAACTTATATGTATTTTATAAAATTCTTAGGGGTCCTTCCGTTTTCTTTATTACTTTTTCTTAGAAAATAGGAATCTTCTTATAAGTTGCTGTTATGAGCTCTGAAAACTAAATATCTGTATTTATTTATTTTTATTATTTATTATTTTATTTATTTATTTGTCAAAAGCTTACAATATAACAGAAACAAGAATAAACATAAGTTTAAATACAAGAAATAGAAACTAATAATTGGGGACAATAGGACAGGGATCGTAGCCACGATTGTGCGCTTAAGCACGCCCCTTTATATACAAGTGCAGGTCACTCTGTATGAAAAATATATGTAGGAAGCAGTTAGAACTCAGATAAGTACTGTCAGACCTTATAAAGAATGAGGCAGGATAACCCAGAGTAGAAAAGAA